CTCCCCCGCCCGCTTTTTGAAGCGCGTGGCTTGTTTCTTTCCAGCCAAGTGCCCGAGGTAGCTTTAAGTCGGAAGGGCGGGTGGGAGCGAGGCCAGAGTGTCTTCCTGGAAATGCCCGTCTGTCTTTCACGCTGTGCATCTTAAAGATGGGGGGCTCGCGCGATGGGGAGCGTGTCGCGCTGCTTGTTTGAGTTAGTTGCTGCTGTTATTTTGAGCCGGAGCCCCACCCCGTCGCCCAGGCCGGAGGGCAGTGGCACGCTCACGGCCTCCCCGGCGTCGACCTGCGGGGCCCGGGCGATCTTTGCGCCTCCGCCTTCCAAGTAGCAGGAACTACAGGCGTGCGCCACCACGCCCGGCTCATTTTGGATTGCAGAGACCAGGGCTCGCCAAGTGCCGGGATTACAGGCCGAGCCACCAGCTGGGGCTGGTCTCAAACCCTCGGGCTCCCAAAGTGCCGGGATTACAGGCCGAGCCACGGAGCCCGGCCTCACTCACTTGTTTTCACTCAGAGCTTTTCCAGTTGGAAGGTTTTGGTGGGAAATTGCTGACATTAAGATGTGTTATCTAAAGTGTAAGTTATTCTTAGACTTGAGGGAATAAGCTGAAGAGTCTGTAAGTTCTACCAGCCATGCAAATACGGTTTTCTAAAATACCTTTTTTGTTTGTTTGTTTCAGATTTACAGCCCTGAAGAGTCTTTCCACGGCCCATTTTTCGCCTTGCAGTCCTAAGTCCCATGTGGAGACCCCAAAACTTTATATAAAGGGATATAGTTTGAATTCTGTGGAGTGTAATTTTGTATATGAGTTATATTTTTAAGACATTGAAGAGTTTTCAGAAAGAAGGATTAGTAGAGTTCATTACTGGTACTTGATACAAAGCAGTGATTCTGTCAGTGATACAATATTTTGTCAGGCCTTTTGGGTAACACTAGGAAGGACAAGCGCTGTCTTGGTAAATTGATTCATCTTTAATTACAGCTTGGCTGATACTATGACCGAAGGGTCCTTAAGGGAAGAGCAGGGCATTTAATTTTTAAATGCAGCATTAAAAAGTGAGTACTGTGGACATTTTATGGTTAACTAATTAAGTTTATGGAGGAAATGTCTTCAGTTGATCAAGAATAGTAAAGTGGTATACAAAGCCAGGAAGAAACCATGTTGCTACAGGATTGGAAACAAGTATAGACAATATTTAGCAAAGATGGAAGTGTTTACAGTTTGTGAACTTTAAGCAAACTTAATTTGACATATGTGCACTAGAACAGGCACAGGTTCAACAAAGCTTGTGACTTCCCCCAAAATTGTTAAGCAGTATAACCCACTTAAGGAAATATTAAGATTATAAGCTATGTGAAATTAGGCTTTGACGGCGTAACTGTATGAAGACTTTAATTACTTTTGTTTACTAGAATAAAATGAGATTTTTGGATGTCATATTAAAGTGCCTCTAGGAAAAGAAGCTTGCCTGTAATTTTTCACTCCTGTGGCACAATTAAAGATTGGCCTGATATCGAGGCTTCAGTGCTTTAACTTGAATGTAGATTAAAGGCATAATTTAGGTATTCTGTAGTTGCTTACAGTTTTGAGAATATAAACCTTAAAAAAAAAGCAAGGAATATTAACACTTTTAGAAATGCATCAACGTTTTTTGGCTTTTTGGATAGTATTACACTAAATTATGAGCAGATAGCACTTGGATTACCTAAAAGAGTTCATACAGTTACAAAGAACCCTAAGTAGTGTCTTGGTAATTTAGGAAAGATACTCATCCTACTTGACTATAAACTCATGTAAATCCAGTAAAGGAAATGTAGTGAATTCTGCATAAGTAAAAGTATCATTTGCTTTCTTTTCATGGTAAAAATCTAATTTAGAGTGAAGAAATTTCACGTGAAGGTTTTAGCTATCCAACAGTACTGTCACCTACTAATGCACAAAACTACCTCCCAAAGAGTTGTTCGAGGTCCCTCGAATCAAAAACATTAAGAGTATAATGGAAGATAGCACGGTCTTGTCAAATTGGACAAACAGCAACAAACAAACAATGAAGTATGACTTTTCGTGTGAACTCTACAGAATGTCTACATATTCAACTTTCCCTGCCGGTGTTCCTGTCTCAGAGAGGAGTCTTGCTCGTGCTGGTTTCTATTACATGGGTGTGAATGACAAGGTCAAATGCTTCTGTTGTGGCCTTATGCTGGATAACTGGAAACACGGAGACAGTCCTGTTGAGAAGCATAGACAGCTCTATCCTAGCTGTAGCTTTATTCAGAATCTGGTTTCAGCTAGTCCGGGCTCCACCTCTAAGAACACTCCAGTGAGAAACAGTTTTGCACATTCACTGTCCCCTACTTTGGAGCACAGTGGCTCATTCAGTGGTTCTTATTCCAGCCTTTCACCAAACCCCCTTACTTCTGGGGCAGTTGAAGATTTCTCTCCACTGAAGACTAGTCCCTACAGTTATGCAATGAGTACTGAAGAAGCCAGACTTCTTACTTACCGTTCGTGGCCATTAACCTTTCTGTCACCATCAGAACTGGCAAGAGCTGGTTTCTATTATGTGGGACCTGGAGACAGGGTAGCCTGCTTTGCCTGTGGTGGGAAGCTGAGTAACTGGGAGCCGAAGGACGATGCCGTGTCGGAACACCGGAGACACTTTCCCAGCTGCCCGTTCTTGGAAAACTCTCTAGAAACACTCAGGTTTAGCATTTCAAATCTGAGCATGCAGACACACACAGCTCGGATGAGGACGTTCATGTACTGGCCTTCCAGTGTTCCCGTGCAGCCCGAGCAGCTTGCAAGTGCTGGTTTTTATTACGTGGGTAAGAAACGCGTTTTGTCTGTTTGTTTTGGTGTACGTATTAGAACACGTGTGGTTTCCATTTCTGGTCTTTTTTTCCCCCTTTAGGTCGCAATGATGATGTCAAATGCTTTTGTTGTGATGGTGGCTTGAGGTGCTGGGAGTCTGGTGATGATCCGTGGGTGGAGCATGCCAAGTGGTTTCCAAGGTAATGGTTTTGAGAAGGTGTTTCTACACAAAACTTTGCTCAAAAGAAGTAGGCATGCTGACAGGACTAAGCTCACTTTTAAGAGATAACAAAGCCTCTGTATGTTGTTGGGGAATTTGCCTTCTAAAAGATCAGACTTTAATTATTTTATTAGCCGGGCTCGGTGGCTCAGCCTGTAATCCTGCGCCTTGGAAGGCTGAGGTGAGTGAATTGCCTGAGCCCGCGGGTTCGAGACCCGCCTGGGCAACTTGGCAAGACCTCATCTCTACAATAAATCAAAAAATTAGCCAGGCGTGGTAGCGCGCGCCTGTAGTTTCAGCTACTTGGAAGGCTGAGGCGGATCACCGGAGCCCAGCAGGTCAAGGCTGCGGTGGCCGGGAGTGGCCACTGCACTCCAGTCTGGGCGACAGAGTGAGACGCCAACTCAAGAAAAAAAAAAAAAAAAAGATCTGAGAAAACATGCTTTTTATTTCCAAAATACTTTAAATAAAACATGTCACTTTTCAGTTGAAAAGTCAAAATTTATATATTATGAATGTTAATGACATAATTTCAAAATACAACTTTTAACAATGCACTGATCCATAATAAAATGTTACATCAAATTTTTTTCATCATGTATCACACAAAATGACAAAAAGATTTTTTAAATTTCCTGAAGGGGTTCAAGCGATCCTTCATTATTGCGAAAGGCATTCACAGGTCAAAATATGGCCTGTGTTGTATGATTCCACTTATACTGGTGCCTAAAAAGGTCAAACTCATAGAGACACAAAACAGAATGCTGGCTGCCAGGAGCAGGGGTAACAGGGAGTGAGTATCTGATAGATACAGGGTTCCGGTTTGGGAAGATGAAAAGACTCTGGAGATGGATGGTGGTGGTGACTGCAGTGCAACACGAATGTACTTAATGCCACAGAACTGTACACCTAAAAGTAGTTCAGAGAGTAAACGTTGCTATGTCTATTCTGTTACTATAAAAAGCCAGTCTCTTGTCCAACTCCTCCTCATCACACAAATGAGGTCTAAGTCCTCACAGCTACCCAATTACAAAGACAGAATTAATCTCTAATTTTATGTCCACTAACAGCATTGTCCCCGATTCTTCTTAGACTCTATTTACAAAAATAAGACACACCGCTAGAGACAGAGAGGCTAAAAGGAGGCGAGTGAATATTGTAAAAAGACAAAACTGTACAGAAGAACTTACAGCTATAATTAAAACGTTATTTTGGTAGCTTGTGTTTGTTTCTTTCTTTTATGTATGTATGTATTTATTTATTTAGAGTTGGAGTCTCACTCTGTTGCCCAGGCTGGAGTGCAGTGGCAAGATCACAGCCACTGCAACCTCTACCTGCTGGTCTCAGGTGGTCCTTCCGCCTCAGCCTTTCAAGTAGCTGGAACCACATGGGTGGATGACCACGCCTGGCTAATTTTTAAAAAAAAAACTTATTGTAGAGATGAGGTCTTGCCAATTTGCCCAGGCTGATCTCAAACCTGTGGATTCAGGCAATCCACTCATCTCGGCCTCCCAAAGTGCTGGGATTATAGGTGTGAGCCACCGCACGCGGTCTTGTGTTTTGTTTTAAATTATTAAATAAGGGAGAAGACTTGGGTGCTTTTTGTAAATACTTCTCTGAAAACAACACATTTCAATTGTGAGTAATCTTTAATCTCAGTAAATGAAAAACCACTATATTTTAGCACAGTTTATTCACTTATTACATATTTGCGTGCCTACTTGGTCCTATTTTAGATGTTGGGGATGTAACAGTAAACAGGACGGACAAAAGTGTCCTCATGGAGTTTATCAGAGCAGGGGGAGCAGAGGGTGGCTGGAGTTAATTACTCGGTCATCCCTCAATATCTGTGGAAGATTGGTTCTAGGGTCCCTCTTGGATCTGAAAATCACTGGATGCTCAAGGCCCTTAGACAAAATGCATAGTATTTGCATATAATTTATGCCTATCTTCCTGTGTACCTTAAATCACCTCTAGATTGCTTACAGCACTGGTACAATGTAAAGACTGTAAATAGCATTAAGTTTTGAGTTAACATATTTTGGATACAAGCTCTTTATGAGATGTGTTTTGCAAACTTCTGCTTTTTTATTTGAATTTTAAAAAAATACCATATCTAAGCGATACTACACAGTACAATTGTCTCTTTGTATACTTGGGGTATTGGTTCCAGGATGTTCATGTATCCCCAAGTTTGTGCACACTCGAGTCCTGAAGTTAGTCTTGCAGTACTTGTGTATCCAAAAGAGCTGGCCCTGTATCTCTGTGGGTTTCATGTTTTACAAATAGAATTCGCATTTGGTTGAAAAAAATCCACTTATAAGTGGACCTGCACAATTCAGACCTGTATTGTTTAAGTGTCAAATGTATTTCTCTGTCTGACTTATTTAGCTTAGCATAATGCCGTCCGGGTTTATTCCTGTTGTGGCCAATGGCAGAATTTTCTTTGTTATGGCTGAATACTGCAGCGTGTATACATGCATGTAGCACACTTTTATCATCCATTAACCTGTCATAGACCGCTTAGGTTGTTTCTGCGTCTTGGCTGTTATGAATAAAGGTGCTTAAACGTGGGAGTAGAGATATCATTAGAGATACTGATCTTACTTCCTTCAGATATCTACACAAAAACGGGATTGCTAGATCATATGCTAGTTCTATTTTTAATTTTTTGAGGAACTTATGTACTGTTTCCAAAATGGCTGTACTTCCATAATGGCTGCATTCCCACCAATAGTAGCCAAGGGTTCTCTTTCTTCACATTTTGCCAACATGTGTTATCTCTTGTCTCTTTGATACTAGACATCTTAACAAGTGTGAGGTGATGTTTCATTATGGTTTTAATTTGCATTTCCCTAGTGATTATTGATGCTGAACACCTTTTTATGTACATGTTGATCATTTGTATACTTTTGGAAAAATATCTATTCAGGCCCTTTACCCATTATTAAATCTGAATTTTTTTTTTTGCTGCGAGTTCCTTAAATATTTTAGATACTAACTCCTGTGTGTAGTCAGTGTCTAGCTTGCATGCTTGTTTGCCCATTCCGTATACGGCCTTTTTGTTTTGTTGGCGGCTTCCTTTGCTGAGCAGAATCATTGAGTTTGATGAAATCCCACTTGTTTATTTTTGCTTTTGGTGTCTGTGCTTTTGGTGTCATATCCAAAAAAATCTGCCAAGATTAATGTCAAGGAGTTTTTCCGTTTTCCCTTCTGGAAGCTTTATGGTTTCAGGTCTTACATTTAAGTCTAATCCTTTTTTATTTTGAGTCCGAGTCTCACTCTCACCCAGGCTGGAGTACAGTGGCAGGCTCACAGCCACCGCAGCCTCGCCCTGCTGGGCTCAGGCGATCCCTCTGCCTCAGCCTTCCGAATAGCTGGACCCACAGGCATGCGCCATCACACCTGGCTCATTTTTTGATTTATTGTAGAGACGAGGTCTTGCCATTTGCCCAGGCTGGTCTCAAATCCTTGGGCTCAGGCAATCCTTTCGCCTCAACCTCCCAAAGTGCTGAGATTACAGGCATGAGCCACCGTACCTGGTAAGTCTTGGATCCATTTTGAGTTAATTTTTGTAGGTAGCGTAAGATAGAAGTCTGGTTTTATTTTTTTGCATGTTGCCGCCTAATTTTCCTAGCACCATTTGTTGAAGACACTTTACTTTTGAGCATTGTGTATTCATTGTGCCCTTATCAAAGATTAGTTTGCTGCATGAATTTATTTCTGGGCTCTCTATTCTGTTACACTGATCTTAGTGTTTTTATGCCAGCACTATGTTGTTTTGGTTATTATAGCTTTGTAATACAGTTTGCAATCAGGAAGTGTGATGCTTCTAGCTTTTTTGTTTTTTGTCAGGATTGCTTTGGCTATTCTGGGTCTTCTGTGGTTCCATAAAATTTTAGGATTGTTAAATTTTTTATTTCTGTGAAAAACGTGATTGGGATTTTGGAAGGGATTGTATTGAATCTGGAATGCTTTGAGTAGTGTGGACATTTTTAACAATATTTTTTTGATCCTGGTACATGGGAGTTTTTTCATTTATTTCTGTCATCTTCAGTTGCTTTCATCAGTGTTACTTTTTTTTGAGTTGGAGTCTCACTCTGTCACCCAGACTGGAGTGCAGTGGCCGCTCCCGGCCATCGCAGCCTCGCCTGCTGGGCTCCGGCAATTCTTCCGCCTCAGACTTCCGAGTAGCCGTAATTATAGGCGCGCACTACCACGCCCGGCTAATTTTTTGATTTTATTGTAAAGATGAGGTCTCGCTGCCCAGGCGGGTCTCGAACCCGTAGGCTCAGGCAATCCACTTACCTCAGCCTCCCAAAGGCACGGGATTACAGGCTGAGCCACCGAGCCTGGCTCAGTGTTACATTTTTAACTGTATGGGTCTTTTACCTCCTTGGTTACATTTACTTCTAAGTATTGTTTTTGGTGCTGTTGTAAATGGGGTTACTTTTTTGATTTCTCTTTCAGAGAGTTCACTGTTACTGTGTAGAAATATTACTGACTGTTGTATGTTGAATTTGTATCTTGCAACTAGTTAATTAGCTTTAACAGTCTTTTTGGGGAGTCTTTAGGGTTTTTCTACACATAAGATCATGTTGTCGGCAAACAGAGACAGCTTTACTTCTCCCAGTCTGATTCGGATGCCTTTTATTTCTTTTTCTTGCCTGCTTGCTCTGGCTGTCCCTTCCAGTACTACGCTGAGTGGAGGTGGCGAGAGCACCTTTGTCTTGTTCGTCATCTCAGAGGAAAAGTTTTCAGTTTTCGTGTAGAGTATGTTAGCTGTGGGTTTGTCATGTATGGTCTTTATAGTGCGGTACATTACTTCTGTAGCTAATTTGTTAAGAGTATTTCTTGGCCGGGCTTGGTGTCTCAGCCTGTAATCCCAGCACTTGGGGGACCAAGGCCAGTGGATTGCCTGGGCCTGTGGTTTCGAGACCCACCCGGGTAACTTGGCGAGACCTCATCTAACAGTAAATCAAAATTAGCCAGGCATG